GGGCGCAGGGACAGGGTGTGGGGACAGGGTGCAGGGACGGGGTGCGGACGGCCCAAGGGTGCAGGGACGGGGCATGGGGACAGGGTGTGGGGACGGGACGCAGGTGCAGGGATGGGGCGAGGGCGCAGGGGACCGGGCGCAGGCCCAGGGTGCAGGCCTGGGGACGGACAGCGTCTGCGGCAGCCAATCCGTGAACTCAGTGTCGGTACTGGTAGGTTTTGTCTGCTCGTTGGGGTTTGATTTTGCGGCAAGGGAACCGCACAGCTACCTCCTTCAGGTCATTATCTTTTCCCAGAGGCTATCTGACTGTGGGCAGCCAGCAGGAGGGAAACCGCAGTAACAGAGGCCCCGATGCAAAGTGTGGTGCAGGGGGTAGGGGAGGGGGGAGCAGCAGGACTAAAGATGGAAAACACAGACCTTTGCACGAAGGTGCTAGAAAAGGAGAGAAAGATCTCTGGGCCTGGAATATCAGAAGACGTTAGAGGGACATCCTCCCCGGTCCATCCCCGGACGGGCCTTGCCCGGGGGCACCGCAGCCCGCTCCTGTCTCTCCCACCGTTGGGCCGAGCTCAGCCGTGGGGGCCTGCATGAGTGCCTCCGCCCTGCCCCGCTCCCTAGCCACGGCCTCTCTGCTCTGATGGCCTGTTTCGGGACAGCCGCAGGAGTCTTGGGGGGTGTCCTCAGGAGCCCTGAGCCGGCCCCTTCCCTGTGCAGGCCCGGCGTGTGGACCCCCGGCCCCCCACGCTGTGCTCTCCCACGGGTCTCTGGGCCACTCCCAGGCTTTCATCCTTGGCTGGTCTGTACCTTCCCGCAGTCCTGGCAGCTCCCCCCACTGCCCACGTGCCTGCCTTTCGAGCCCCGCGTCCCAGCACACCCAGAACGCGGCTCACGTTTGTTGCCCCGTCCACCAAAGCGGGCTGGATTGGAAGGATTTGCTGGAAACTCACGACTGGTGTCGGGCCGGTGCTTGGTGAGACCGGGGTGAGCGGGGAGCTCTGACGGCCCATCAGGCCTCCCTGCAGCAGAGCCTGCCGGTCCTCCTGAGACCGCCGGACGTGCATCAGCAGCCACCGTCCGGTGACTCTGTGTCCCAGAGCTCCCTCTCCGAGAGGCTAGCCCGTCCCCTCCCTGGGCTCCACTCCTGCAAGAGCAGAACGCCTAGTGTCCCCTGCAAGGCTGTCCCCCGGCTCCATGGCCCCACCCCAAGCTCCGGAGCTGGGCCGGGCGCAGGGGAGGCGCACAGGAACATGTGCGAGGAGCGACAGGAGGGCCACCGTTACAGGAGCATCTCATGGGGGCCGCAGACCCCCGCAGGCACCGTCCCGGCCCACCTGCCCCTCTGCCCCGCACTGCGCAGGGCGGCCCCGTGGCTGATTACCAGGACCCTGTCTAGGGGCTGGGTCAAACCCAAGGACAGAGATGCAAAGACAGTTGTGTTTCTTTCGGGAACGGAGCTGAGGGTTCTGGAGCCGTCAGGGCAGGGGCTGACCGCGAGGTTCGGGGAAGCTGGGCTACCCCCACCTGCTTGTTCCCCCAGCTGCAAGGCCTGCTAGGGTGCACAGCAGTTTCCCCTTTTAAAGGACATGACCTACAAATTGTAGTCACTGGTTCCTCTCACGTCCCATTGGCTGGAGCTCGGTCACATGACCAGACGTGGCCACAAAGGCCTCTGGGAAATGTAGTGTTTTCCCTGGTGGCCCTCTGCCCACTGTAACTGCAGGGGTCTGCTGTTCAGAGGTCGAAGGGGGGTGGACTTAGCCGCGTGAGCCACCTGGCAAGCAGCTCGCACACATCACTGCCCGACGCGGATCCCCTCGGGGCGTTTGCATCCACCAGGAACACGTGCCCGTCCAGCCCCGCATGGCCCGGGCCCCCGTTCCGTTCCTCACCCGGCCAATCTCAGCGGAAGCCCGGTGGCCGCGGAGAATGAACCCTGCCCTCATGGTTATCCACCACTGCTGCGGCGGTGGGGGCCCTGTAAGGAAGGGGCCACATCGTTCTGTTCACTGTTGCGCCCGGCTGCCAGCATTGTGGGCACCTGTGAGTGGGGTCTGATTCCACTCAGCTGATGCTTGTGCTTTCTTCTCCTCCAGGACACCAGGGACTTCTTGAACAGGTAACAGAGCTTCCTTTCCACGGCGCACCCCACCCCCACCCCCCCTCTCCTGCATGAGACCCATTTGAAGGAATGGTGCCGCCTCAGTTTATGGTGGCCAGCCTCACTCCTGGGAAGCAAGAACACAGCCTCGGGAACTGGAGACTTGCTCTCCGAGGCAGCCAGTGTCCCGTCCTGGTCCGAGACGGGGCAGGAGACGAGAGTGGAGACCGAGGCAGCCAGCGTCCCGTCCTGGTCCGAGACTGGGCAGGAGACGAGGGTGGAGACCGAGGCAGCCAGCGTCCCGTCCTGGTCCGAGACGGGGCAGGAGACGAGGGTGGAGACCGAGGCAGCCAGCATCCCGTCCTGGTCCGAGACGGGGCAGGAGACGAGGGTGGAGACCGAGGCAGCCAGCGTCCCGTCCTGGTCCGAGACGGGGCAGGAGATGAGGGTGGAGACGTGCTCAGCAGACAGAAGCGTTCTGGATGCTCTGAGTCCTGGCCCAGCCGTGGGCTGTTCACTCAGTGTTTTTGAGCCCTGGTTTCTCTGTCTGTTGATTGGGGATTGTCATACCTTTCTCTCCTGCTTCATAACTGTCGTGAGAATTGAGAGAAATGCAGGAAGAGCTAAGTAACAGGTCCATCTGTCATCTTCCCAGGTATCCACGGAAGAAGTTCTGGATTGGGAAACCCATTGCTCGGGTGGTTAAGAAAAAGACGGGAGAATTCTCAGATAAACTTACGTCCCTTCAGCGAGGCCTGAGAGAGTTCCAAGGTGAGGGCTGGGGGGTGCACTGGGGTGGGAGTTGGAGCTGGGGCTCTGCATTGAAGGAGGGTACAAGCTTCTTACTGTCATCTTTGGCCTCACTCCTGGGTCTCCTGGTTGTTTTCTGTTTTCTTCTTGGGATCTCAGGGAGGGAGGCCCGTCAGGAAATTAATCCTGTCCGAGTAGAAAACGGGCCCGTAAGTTTGCTGGGCTCGAGGGTCATTCTTGTCCTTTTCTTGTCCCCAGGGAAGCTGCTAAGAGACTTGGAATATAAGACAGGTGAGTGTCCAAAGGGCTGTTCCCAGTTCACCTCCCATGAAGAATACTGTCCCCACAGAGACTCAGACTCCCCTGCTGCCCCCGGGGAGCCCGTTCTCTAACACGGCTGAGATTTCCCAGCTGCTTGTCTGCAGCTCCCTCCGCTGGGTCTCTAGTCTGCAACAGAGGTTTCTGCTTGATTGCCTGACCCCGTCTGCACAATGTTCCCCTCTGCCGAATGCCTGGCTCCCGCATTCGGAGGCCGTCTGTGCCTCAGGCCCCAGCACTGTGCTCCCTCCATGCCCTGCTGTCCAGTTGCGCACTGCATAGCCCTGAGGGGCCCTGTGACTAGCAGCCCTTTGATTGTAGGGTGTGGCAGCCCCGCAGGGCCCCCCAGTGACACCATTGCTCGTTCTGTCGTCCCCACAGTCAGTGTCACGCTGGACCCGCAGTCGGCCAGTGGGTACCTGCAGCTGTCGGAGGATTGGAAGTGTGTGACCTACAGCAGCCTCTACCAGGGTGCTTACCTGCACCCCCAGCAGTTCGACTGCGAGCCGGGGGTGCTGGGCAGTAAGGGCTTCACCTGGGGCAAGGTGTACTGGGAAGTGGAGGTGGACAGGGAGGGCTGGTCCGAGGAGGAAGAGGAGGGGGAGGAGGAGGAGGAGGGGGAGGAGGAAGAGGAGGAAGAGGAGGCGGGCTACGGGGATGGGTATGAGGACTGGGAGACGGACGAGGACGAGGAGTCCTTGGGGGAGGAAGAGGAGGAGGAGGAGGAGGAGGAGGAGGAGGTTCTTGAAAGCTGCATGGTGGGGGTGGCCAGAGACTCTGTGAAGAGGAAGGGGGACCTGTCCCTGCGGCCAGAGGACGGGGTGTGGGCGCTGCGCCTCTCCTCTGCGGGCATCTGGGCCAACACGGACCCCGAGGCCGAACTCTTCCCGGCCCTTCGGCCCCGGAGGGTGGGCATCGCCCTAGATTATGAAGGAGGCACCGTGACATTCACCAACGCAGAGTCACAAGAACTCATCTACACCTTCACCGCCACCTTCACGCGGCGCCTGGTCCCCTTCCTGTGGCTCAAGTGGCCTGGGACACGCCTCCTGTTGCGACCCTGAGCCCACCGCTTGCTGCCTCCCTTCTTGGGGATTCCAGGACCGTGATGGGGAGGGGTGTCTGGCCATGGCACCTGGAGCAGTGCACGCCCCCCCCCCGTGGCTGTGGCCCCTTGAGGCTTGCTCGGTGCCACCGCTCTGTCACCCAGCTCCTCCCCCAGCCCCGGGGGTTCCCAAGCAGATTTCTGACCCCGGAGTCCTTGAGGGCCCCTCTGCTGCCCACGGCCTTTGGCCCAGCGCTGCACGCTCTTTGTTGAATGGAGACGAGCTAGCATTTAGTCGCCCAGTCTGGCGTCTGGTGCTGGCCTGCACCTGAGGTCACTTGCCGTCCTCCATCCCCCGGCGTCCCCCTCGCCGACATCCTCTCTGCTGCCAGCCTTCCCTGCCACCCTAACTCAGAGTGACGCGCGTGAACGTGAGCAGAGCGAAAACCCGCCACGGGTTCTGGGCCATTTGAATGAGCCTCCTGGAGCACCGTGGAGTTGCCAGGCCCCGAGTGGGTGCCTCGCTTCTGAGACCAGGGTCCAACGTCTGACATTTGCACATCGAAGAAGCCAGGACCCTTGGAGCCTCTTGGGGGAGGGATCTGGAGACCTGTGGCTTTACGGCCACACGTGTGGTCAGTGATCAATAAATGACCTGAGGGTGGGGTCTTGGGAGGGGAAATTGTAAAGGGAAGCCAGAATAGCTGCTCTTGATCAGTCATCTAAAATCACCAGGGCAGACATCCGGTGCAGGAGAACCTCCCCCTGGGAAGCCCTGGCCAGTGCCTCCAGCAGGGTGGAAGCTTGGGCTCCGTTGTCCTGGGACAGGGGCGGTGGGGAGAGGAGAGGACGCCGGCGGGGCTCCCGGAGCTCGCCCGGCCTTCATGCTGGTCTTCCTGCCGGGAGAGGGCTAGAGCGCGGCTCACTGCGCCCACTCGCCCCCTGCTTCAGCCGGACGCCCACAGCCTTTGTCCGCACCTGTCCCAGGCCTGGCACCAGCATCCTGCACCCCAGCACCTCGGCCCCCACATCATCTGTAAATGTCCCTCTGATTTCTGCCTCTACTTTTGAACCCCCCACAGCACCTCCTGCAGTGCTGGGTACACAGCAGGTGGTCAGTAAAGACTTGTGGGATGAACAGCCCGGGTTCATATATTTTATTATAACCTTCCTGTGGCTCCAGAGCGGTTGCGTGGACAGCAGTGGCCCGGGGTCTCTCCTGGGCCCAGACAGGAACCCCCACATCTCCCTCTCCCACTGTGCTGGCCCCATGTCAACACCGAGCATCCGTGTAGCCCAGGACGGCCCATGACACGGCGACATTCCGTGGCATACCCAGAATCTTCCCTTGGAAAATGCGCGGTGCCTGCCCCGAAGGAAACGCAACCAGCTGAGCCTCCATCCTGCCCTTGGACACACTCAGCCACCCAGCCATTTCTGGTCTCTTCTTTCTGCTGGTTTTTTAATTGCCATGTTACAGATAGAAAAGGAAGAATTACATAAAGCCCTTTCAAGATCTCATTTATGACTCTTCCCCCTTTTTATTTTTCATTTGTTCTTTTTACTTTTCTTTCTAAATAGAGATATGCAAAGTGTGTCAATTATTAGAAATAAGACACGTTAATATGACGTCAGTTAATCTACATTCGAATGCTGAGAGAGAATAATCAGTAGCATATTCTTGAAAATTTACATTTATTTTGTTGATTGATGTGAATTGTTCCCTAACATTATACTCTCCTAATCTTTTATTTATGGAAAAATTTCAGAATTCTCAAAATGCCTTTTATCCTTTTTTGGAAAGAATTTTTATATAATGAGATTTCTGTAACTTTTTAAGGTGATCATTGTATAATTAAAATTTCCTATTTATTAAATAGGGAACATTTGCATTTGAACAAAATATAAATGCTTTCGGGTCATGGTTTAACGAGTTTCCTGAGTGTGAAACTTCCAGAATGAACTGTAGACGATGAAGTTTTCGTATGAAACAGCCTTTGAAAGTCATAAAAACATGTGCGTTATGCTGCCACCTGAGGACAGAAAGTTGCCGCGTGGTACTTATTTGGCTAATTCTTTTGAACTTTTTATTTTTTATAATCATATTTTTAAGCATTTTTTTTTATGTGAGCGTCACCTACACGTATGGTCAGATCTACGTAGTGTTTATCACGGAGAGAGGAAAGAGCAGCCCCTCCCTCTCCCGGGGCGCTTCTTGGCGGACCATTTCCTCGACGGCGCTGGTGTGGGACCCTGTCCTCCGGTCCCCCAGCAGCCGAGGCTCTGGGTCCGGCCCCGTCCCCGAGCGCACGCGCCCCACCTGTCCATCCCGGCGGCCGAGCCCGAGCTCGGCGCGCCCACGGCTGGGTCTGCAGAAGCTGTCTGTGGGGACAGCCTGCTCTTCCTGGACTGGGGAATTTCCTTTTTCTGCCCTTTGGCTCCATTGCCTACGTCCGTCTTAGGAATCAAAGCCCGGCGTCCTTACCCATTGTCAGCATCCGTCGGGATGGCGGGTCGTCAGCTGCTCTGTCGTGTTGTCCCGGAGCCTGCGCCCCGGCCTGTGCACAGCCCTCCGGGGGTCGGGGGTCGTGGCTTGGCTTTGCTGCTTCCTGACCCCGTGTTTCCTGTGTCCCTGACCCTCTTCTTAGCTGACTTCCTCGTCCTGGCCCGGGAGCTTCCCGAGGGCGCCTGTAAGTTGTTTGAAGTGCGGAGTATCGGCAGGTTCTCGGCCCCTCGGTTCTGGGAACGTTCCCGAGTTACTTGTGGACGGTCGCTGTCTCCTCCGTTTTCTCTGTGGTCCCGGCCTTCGCAGGGCTCCTGCACGGGTTACTGAGAGGCCGGGGCGGGCCGGGATGTTTCCGGGCTAGGGCAGCGGTGAGGCGCGCGTGCAGGTTATATTCCAGGGGAGGGCGACACGCAGGGAACTGGCATAGGACGGTGACGGGCGGTGAGCCGCGGTCCGCTTTCCGGGCCAGCCAGGGCTGCTCCGAGGAGGACAGTCTGGGATCGCACCGGCCAGGGTCACGGGCAGGGACAGGCGGGGCCGGGACGCCCGCGTGTCTGCAGTGCGGTGGGCGGAGGGGCGGGAGAGCAGGGGAGGGGTCGGCGGCCTGGTGGACCGCGCTGCAGGGTCGGGGTTTC